CACCATTCTTCACGCCAGTATTTCATGTGGTTCACTAGCCATGCCCAAACCTTTGCATATATTCCCTTTGTAAATAAATCTCCCTCAAGTTTTTCTTTTTTTAATATTTATTTTATTGATTGGAAGTCAGAGTTACAGAAAGAGAGAGAGAGAGAGAGAGAGAGAGAGAGAGAGAGAATATCTGCCACCTGCTGGTTCATTCCTCAAATGGCCACAACAGCCAGGGCTGCACCAGGCCAAAGCCAGGAGCCAGGAGCTTCTTCCAGGTCCCACAGGGGTTCAGGGGCCCAAGGACTTGGGCCATCTTCCACTACTTTCCTAGGCGTATTAGCAGGGAGCTGGATCAGAAGTGGAGCAGCTGGGACTTGAACTGGAGCCCATATGGGATGCTGGTGCCTCAGGCAGAGGCTTAACCTGTTACACCACAACACCAGCTCCCCTCAAGTCATTCTAAGTTGAATGCACTGACTGTTTTATATAGGAATCCTGGCTGCTGCAGGGAAGAATGAGAGGTGGACAGCTGCAGATGCTGGCCAATAAAGCTAACAACCGCTGAAGAATTAAAAAAAAAAGAAGAGTCCAAGAAACATCACCAGTTGACTAGAAAGTGAGTAGAAGAAAAGAAAACAGATAGGATTACAAATTCTCAAAGCTGGACTGAGACTGGAGTGGCAGTCTAAAAAGCAAGCATTTGACAGTAAAATTGAAACTAATAATCAGATTTATAATTTACTGCCAGGAGCTTTCTCTATGACTGTAAACCACATATAAACCCTTTTCAAACACTGCTGTGAGGTACTTGAACACATTTGCATGGTTTTATCCCCTGGTGTTAGTCATCACTCTTTTAGCATTTTCCGCACATTTTACATTTAAAATTGTTAGCTTCCATAAAAGCACAGCACACAAGATTGTCTGCATCTTTCTAGGCACTGTGCTTTGTCTAAACTCAGTTGACCCCATATATCCCAAAGCCTTCCTAGTTTTCCCAAACCCTTCTAGTTCCATAAGGAGAATCTGACAAAAAAAAAAATGTGTGCATTCCTGAGTATTCAGATGTTTCCTCTTAAGCCAATTCCTGTACAAACTACTATCTGTCATTTCAGGCTATGTCAGGAGATTCTCCACCAAGAGCCCGTTAAGTCCAGGCTGTGCCCTTTGTGTGATATGTGTGCAAACAAAAATATATAATGTAATTGGGCAAAATCAGAGGTTCTTAGTGAGTCCCAAAGCTGCTGCGGAAATACACGTATCCCAAAAGCTAAGTGTTTGAACTTAACATTTGAATCTCATCCGTCTGTGCTGTAAATTAGATATGGGGAGCTGACCTAGGGCAAAGGGTTCCCAGGAGTCTTAGCTTTCTGCCGGACTATGAAAATCAGGCTCATGTTATCAGTGTAATCATAAAATTCCCAGGTACCCAAAGCTAGCTAGCCCAAGGGACCTGCCAGGATAAGGCAAATCACTGTTTTACCACAAGTTTTAAAAGGGAGCTTTGAGAGGAAATCCAAATGGCCAACAGACACATGAAAAAATATTCAGGATCACTAGTTGTCAGCAAAATCCAGATCAAAACCACCATGAGGTTTCACCTCACCCCAGTTAGAATGGCTTTCATATAGAAATCAACAAACAACAAATGCTGGTGAGGATATGGGGGAAAAGGTACCCTAATCCACTGCTGGTGGGAAAGTAAACTGGTGAAACGATTATGAAAGATAGTGTGGAGATACCTTAGAGGTCTGAATATAGACCTTCCACATGACCCAGCTATCCCGCTCCTGGGAATCTACCCAAGAGAAATGAAATCATCATATGAAAGAGCTATCTGTACCTCCATGTTTATCACAGCTCAATTCACAATAGCAAAGACATGGAATCAACCAAAATGTCCATCAACTGAAAACTGGATAAAGAAATTATTGGATATGTATACCATGGAATACTACATGACAGTAAAAAAAAAATGAAGTATGGTCATTCGTAACAAAATGGGTGAAACTGGAAAACATCATACTTAGTGAAATAAGCCAGTCCCAAAGGGACAAATTCTATGGTTTCTCCCTGATGTATAATAACTAACAGAGCACCGAAAAAGACAACATGTAGAAATGAAATTGATGCTTTGAGAAGTAATGATTATGAACAGTCCTTCTCTTGACTGTTGAGGAACAGCTTCTTATTGTATATCTTTGTTTATCCTCTACTTTCTTTTACTTTATAATATTTTCCTTATCTTCTTCTCTTTGATACAATTCATTGTATGCTAATCTTAACATAGAGTTAATTATACATGTATAAAGTTAAGTGAAAATAGATCTTTGTAAAGAATAAGAGTGAGAATAAGAAAGGGAAGGGGGGATGGGAGTGAGGGTGGGAGGGCAGGGCAGGCACAGTGGGAAGAATCACCAAAATCATAAAGTTGTAATTGTGAAATGTATGAAGTATGTAACTGTAAAGCAATATAGTCCTACATACATTCCTATGGAGATTCTTTTAAGGGTATAACCTAACAACTAGTCATAAGACACCAAAATCCCTTAAGTTGGCTGATAAAAATAGCAACTTAAGTGTTATAAAGATCAAATGGATAGGAATAAGTGGTAAAGGGACCATATATATATATATACAATCAAGAGTTAAAGTGATCATATTAATAGGACTAAGTGTTTGGAAACAAGAATAGACAGTATTAAAAAGGAATAAAGGCCCCAACATGGGAAGCAGTCCATACAGCAGACTCATAGAATGACAATCACTTTAAGCAAGCGCTCTGACCTCAGAATCAGCCCTTAAGGCATTCAAGTCTGGCTGGAAAGCCCAGGGGGAGCATTTCAGGCATGGAGAATCAAGATACTCTGGGAAATAATGTCCTACTTAAAGGACCCCTGTGGGTGAGACCCAGTAGAAAGAAGTGGCCACCAAAGGAAGTACTTTTCTCTTAAGGGAAGAGAGAACTTCCACCTTGCTTATGGCCTTGTTGAGCTACTGGATCCAAAAGGCTTCCATAGCTAAAGCAGCTCATGTCAAGAGCCTTGGGTGATCACTGATATCATATATAAGAGTGTTAATTGTGAAATTAACAACAGGAGTCACTGTGTACTAACTTCCCATGCAGGACCTCTGTCCACAAAGTGTTGTATCGTGAGACTTAATAGTAAAACATGTTCCCAAGAATCACTTCCTCTTAGTGTATTAAAAGGAAGATATTATTATGTCTCATAAGTAATAGTCATGTCTGAGCTCACAAAAGATGTATCATCCTTGGGTTCTTCTTTAAAGACAATTAAGTTTAAAAAAGGAAAGAAGGAGGAGGAAGGTTGGGAAAAGAAGAGGGAAAAAAGCGAAAACCACCTTCAAGAAGCAATAACAAAGAACAGCCCTTGTTTAGACTGTTGAGGAACAGTTCTCTTGTTTTTTTTTTACTCCATTATCCTTCCTTCCTTCCTTTTTCCTTTTTCCTTTTCTTTCTCAGACCAAACAGGAAAGGGGGGAGGAAGGTGGGAGTGGGTGGGAGGACAGGCGCAGTGGGAAGAATTATTATGTTCCCGATGCTGTATTTACGAGATACATACAAATAAATAAATAAATAAGGAGCTTTGAGAATAACAATCCTAAAGCAGAAAACAAAGCACATTTCTGCCACAAGACTAATCAGCGCAGGTAAAACAGGTTTTTTTTTAAATCCTCCTAAAACAAATTAGTCACATAATTTTGAACTTGACTTTTTGTTTGCTTTTTTCTATAATCCAAGAAAATATCCTGAAAGGATTATTCTCAACCCCTCTGAAAAATTCCAGACTATGCTATGACTGGTGATATAGAGCTATCCATTTGCAGATGACTAATAATCATCACTTAAGGTCACAAGTGATCCCAGACCAATACAGACTAATGTAGCACATTGTCAGTGTTTATTGCTGCATTGTGAATTAAATTAGATATGAATTCAAGCTAGTTGTACAGCAAGCTATTTTATTCCTTGAATCCTACCCTTCTGGTGATGTAAATTTATGGGATTAGAGCCAGCAAAATAATAGAATTTCCAGGTCTTTTCTACTACAGCTTTAACATACTCTGCTTGCCTCTCTATTTCATTTCTATTATTTTAACAACCATATTCAGTGTTCAATTTTAGCTGCAGAATAACCAGTGGACCATTCAAGAGGTTCTATACATAAAGCAGTAATAAAGGCATCATCTGAATGGTCAGTACTGGGGTTTTCTCACAAGAAGTTTTCTCTCCTTAGAGATCTTCCTGAACCCCTTGTCTTTTCTTCCATTGGGTGACTTTAGTTCTCACAGTACCAGATGGAATCTTCTATGTCAATACCCAGCTTTATACTAACATATACTGTGGCTGCATGGATAACTAGGTTATGATCAACCAATCACACATATCTTAACTTTCAGTGTTTCATGTGAAAAGCTTTCAAACATCTTAGGAAGTATTGAATCAGGCAGCTATCTTTTCTATTTCTCTTTCATCTATAAGTATTTTTAAAAAATAAAGAATTAATTTATCTGTTGCTAAAATATCCTTCAAAAATTCAAATTTGTCAGAATAACAGTAATCTCAAAACTCATTGGCAGTTCCACATGAGAAAATATTTTAAGGCCTCCCTCTCCTTAAAGTGGATAGCAATCAGAATTTTGAAATCCACATGATTTTGAAAGTTTTCTAAACTATCATGTAAAATTTCTAAACTATCATGTAAAACTCTATTGTAATATCACCCTGATTTTATTTTTTAATTATATTTATATACGCATTTTAATATAAGCAAGTACAATGAAATATCAATAGTGATTACCATTGAGTGATGGAATTAACATTTATTTACTTTTTATAGTTTTCTGAATTTTTCCAATTGCTATAATAAACAGTGACGTATTCATCTCCAAACCCAAAACAACATATTTTAAAGTCTTTTAAATTTGTTTTGCTTTTTATATGAAATCAAGCTTAGTTGTAGAAATAGGCAAGCAAACCAACATACCTTTTGATTAAATGGGCTCGGCTGTTCACATAGTTGGAGTCAAAAGAATAGTTTTCAGTCTGTAATGAGAAAAAAAAGATTATATAGAAGACTCAAAAGAAGAATCAAAATATCCTACTTAGAAGGAACTTTTCCTCTTTTTAATTTGAGAGCAGAGAGACAAAGAGAGAAAGAGACAGAGTTCCTATCCACTGGTTCACTCCCCAAATGCCCACAATTGCCAGGGTTGAACCAGGACCAAAGTGAGGAGCCAGGACTTAATCCAAGTCTCCTGTATAAGTGGCAGGAACCAAACTACTTGAGCAATCACCACTGCCTCCCAGAGTCTGCACTAGCAGAGTTGGAGTCAGGAGCTGGATCAGAAATCCAACCCAGGCTCTGCAATGACCAATGCACTTTTAGACTAAATGCCCACTCCTATTAAGAATTTCTCTACTGGGCAAGAAGCAATGAATGATTGAGAAACCAAAGCCATAGTGGGGCAGCAGCCTGAGGAACTCCCTGCCTCCTTGGGGCTCTGGGGTCACTGTGGAGATAGCAGCTCACCCCAGCAGATTAGGACAAACTTGACACAAACATTCTCTAAAAGACGGCTGGCTACTGACCATGCAACCACTTACAAAGAAGAGACAACATGACTCACAATCATTACCGAAACTAATTGCTTCCCATTCCCCAGTAGAGACAAATCTATGCCCATCAAATTGACTGGAAGTTCAAAGGTATTTTTATTAGTAGTAGATAATTAACATGTTAAAATATTTATCCCAAAGATATGGAAATGCAGGCAAGGTAATCCCCCACTGTGGTTTTAAACTCTGCACTTCCCTTTGTTTTAAGACATTTGCTCAGCAATACTTATGCAGGAAGGCCTTCGTTTTATCATAAATATAAAAGCAAACAAGTATAATGCCTAAAACAGGGTGAAGGGCAGTCCACAGGGGGTTCCAAAGCCTTTCATGTGAAACACGAACTTTGCAAGCAAACCCCTGTCTCAGATCCTATTATTAAAACACCACCATCTAATCTGGTTACAGTAGACTGCTGGAGCAAGGGCTTTATAAAAGCAAATGCAGAATACCTGCCAGATGAAAGAGGAAAATAGCTGATAAGCACCCAGAAGTGGGAAGATCCAAAGGGAGACAGCCTTAGAAGGGGTGGAGGCCACAGAAGACACTGAAGTAACTGTGAAGGGGAACTTACCCCCAACGCTAAAGTACCATACTTGCTGAACCATTGCATCAACTGAAAAATGCCCAAACACATTTCCTCCACCCTCCTGCCATTTCACCAAAAATCACCACCATTCCTATGGGCCTTTGGCTATCACTGCAACTGAGAATGCTTGGAAAAAGGAAACTCAACAGCTGTCCAGCAAACAAAAGAGCAGATTCCTTTCAGAAGACTATCTGTCAGACATTAACTGCTCCAGGCTTTTAGGTGCAGTCCTTGCTTTCAAGAGCTCACAGTTTTGAAAGAGGAGAAAATGGGACAGGTAACAGCAGCTCCAGCTCTCAAACGGGCACCAACAGTCCGGGCAGAGACCTTGAATACCGAGAGCAAGTAGGAAGGTGGAAGTGGTGAATGGGTTGGAGAAAGGAAGGGCAAACAGTAGGAAGGCGCTAAATCACATTGTCCTATACTTATTCAGGCATGTTCATGCCTCCCCGCAACTCCCATCATTTGAAGATAGACTGTACGATATCCACTCACACTGCTTTTATCTAGAAGTTTACATCCTCTGTAATGTAAACCACAAATAATAGTTGGTACTATTCAGAGAAATGTGTTGAGAGGATAAAAATCAAATGCTCAGTTCATTTCTAAATTGTTCATAAGAAAACAAACGCTGAAGTGGGGAGGGGAGGATGATGAGGGGGTGACTGAGGGATACTAGGCTGTAGCCAGATAGCAATAAGAAGTCCTAGGGTTCTATTGCACAGTAAAGTGACTATAGTACTGTTAATATACTGCATATTTCTCTAGGTAAAAAACCAGAAGATAGGATTTGGGATGTTTTCAGTGTAAAGAAATGTTAAATGTGTGAAAGGATAAAATACATTTACCCTGGCTGGACATCACATAATGCATACATGTAATAAAACATAACATAGTATCCCCAAAATGTATACAATTTTTATATCTATTAAAATATTTTCATTGTCTAAAAATAAAATGAATGCTGACATTGCTATGAAAAGAATTACAGGAGAAGAAGGCCTGTGTTGGGAATATGATCTATTTTTTTTTATTTTTTTATTTTTTGACAGGCAGAGTGGACAGTGAGAGAGACAGAGAGAAAGGTCTTCCTTTGCCGTTGGTTCACCCTCCAATGGCCACCGCGGCCGGCGCACAGAGTCTGGCGCACCGCGCTGATCCGATGGCAGGAGCCAGGTACTTATCCTGGTCTCCCATGGAGTGCAGGGCCCAAGCACTTGGGCCATCCTCCACTGCACTCCCTGGCCACAGCAGAGAGCTGGCCTGGAAGAGGGGCAACCAGGACAGAATCCGGAGCCCCGACCGGGACTAGAACCTGGTGTGCCGGCGCCGCAAGGCAGAGGATTAGCTTAATGAGCCGCAGCGCCAGCCAGTGGGAAATATGATCTAAGTATTTGCTGGAAGAGGTTATCCATCTGTCTACCAAAACTTCTTGGCCTCATTTGTTGTACCAACATAATAGGTGAAAATGATGTTGGTTAAATGTGCTCTTCAATGGTATTCAGTGCAATGTATAATAAGTGGAAATCCCCTACCCTCAAAAAAGTATACTATCCTGTTTAATAGAGAATTGATTAAACACTCGGCAGTTCAGTTATGCATTTATCAATTATCCATATGCAATCCTGGACAAATTACTTAGTTTCTGTGTGCCTCAGTTTTCTTATCTGTAAAACAGGGATAATAGAAAGTGAATCCAAAGAAGAATTTTAACTGCATGTAGCATGGTGCATGGTGGGAACGGTGAGAATCCTTACCTCTTGTTTAACAAAACGTGAAACCCCAATTAGGGTCCACAATTTTACTGCAGTCGGGCAATAAAAGAATAGCGGGGCCAACGCTGTGGCATAGCAGGTAAAGCTACTACCTACAGTGCTAGCATCCCATATGGGCATTGGTTCGAGTCCCGGCTGCTCCACTTCTGATCCAGCTCTCTGTTATTGCCTGGGACCCCTGCACCCACATGGGAGACCCGGAAGAAGCTACTGGCTCCTGCTTCGGAATGGCACAGCTCTGACCGTTGTGGCCAGTTCGGGAGTGAATCAGTGGATGAAAGACACCTCTCTCTCTCTCTCTCTACCTCTTTCTGTGTAACTCTGTCTTTCAAATAAATAAAATAAATCTTAAAAAAAAGAAAAGAAAGTTAGTAGATAGATACATATATGCAAAAAAGGAAACCTAGAGGATACTGGCTCTGCAGAAGCATGAATAACATTCTAACCCACGGTCAAGTTTTCAGACAGTTTTCAAGTAGCAAATTTTACAAAGCTCTGCATATGATGGCTCCAATCTGTGTGCACTGTGCATCAAATACGGAGCTCTGTGGAGATCTGGCCTCCAGGCATTGTGCCAGAACCGTGTGTGTGGGCAAAGAAGCAAACCATGCAAATTTTATCCCTGATGACTGTACTACTTCTTAATCCTAATGAAATAATATGTCTCACCATGAGGATTCCCATGCCTAAACACTGAGTTGAGAAAAGAGAAATGTCTAGAACACTTGTTTGTGGTGACCTTAACTATTCTTCCCTCCCACCATCCACTCCTGGATATAGATCAGTTCACCCTAAGGCAGACCCACCAGGCTTGATCTGCCATTTTAGGTAGGAGAGAGTATCATCGAGGTTTATCAGTTTCCTACCTTTCTTTCCCCTCTTCTATACTCTAAAAAAGTAAACTGCTCATTCTTTTGAGTCCTGGCCTTCAAATATAAACATTCCATTCTCCAAATCAGCATAAACCATAATGCGCAGACGTCCTGTGCTGCATCCTAATGCAATTAGAAGCCTCATAAGTGAGGCAGGTTCCTAGCACCAACTTTCCCAGAGTGGATGGAACTATGCTGCTTCACCTATTGTCTTTCCCCTTGGTAATCAGTTTCAGATCTCTTTATGAAACAGCTTGGTTGCAGCTATGGGAACAACCCATGCAACCAAACCATCCTAATTGGATAGAATACACTATTCTGAACTCATTAGTCCTACATTCCAAGAAACTGAATTAACTGGCCATTGATGCTCTATTATATTACAGGTCTGTGTGTATTGACATCAAATATTTTAGCTCAAATTTCTTCAAAGTGTATACTTAAATCTAGTTGCTGTGCAATGAAAGAGTATATTTTTTCTCACTTCTGGTGGAACAAAGAATGAGACTCAGACCATTTCAGAGAAGGAAATAATATTTTCTTAATCAATAGTTTACATGACTGAAACCAGTACTTTTCAGTCCAAAATGCTGATTAGAATCATCTCAGGAATTTTTAAAAAAAAAACAGTGTCACCAAAGACACACTCCAAGAGATTCTTAGGTAATTGGCCTGGAGTAGGGCCCAGACATTGGGTTAAAAAAAAAAAAAGCTTCCCAGGTAATTTTAATGTACCTCCAGGGGTGGAGAACAACTGTTGTGACCAATAGTCTGGCTGCAGGCTTTCAACTGATGTGCTGTATTTTCTTTTTTAAAAATATATATTTATTTGAAAGTCAGGGTTACAAAGAGAGAGAGAGAGACACAGAATGAGATAGTCCATCCGGTGGTTCAGCCCCCTAGATGGCCACAACGGCCAGGGCTGGGCCAGGCTGAAGTCACAAGCCAAGAGCATCATCCGGGTTCCCATGTGGGTGACAGGGGCCCAAATATGGGCCATATTCCGCTGCTTTTCCCAGACCATAAGTAGGGAGCTGAATTGAAAGTGGAGCAGCTAGACTCAAACCGGTGCCCACATGGAATGCCAGCATTGCAGGCAGCAGCTTAACCTGCTATGCTATAACGCTGGCCTTGTGCTGTGTTTTCTAATGTAAGTCCAGCTGTTTAGAAGATGGGTTGTCTCAATACAAGATA